AATGAAATAACTTTAATAAGGTAAGAGAATGCCAGTTTTGTAAGAAATCATCTTAATATATATCACCCTAATCAAGCCTATTTTAATCTCTCTTACTACATAAATAGTCATCAGCAACCCTATTTTTTTTTTGTAAATTTTGTTTTTAGGAATTTTAACATAAAGCACTTTGGTATTTTTTTTCAAACAGTATGTAGCATTTTTTAACTTGCTTCCAATAGCCACAATAAATTAATGCTGAGATTGTTGATAGTTGCACATATATATCTCTCCTTTTTGTTCCAAAAAGCCTTTTATAGAAATAGTATGTTGAATTCCATCTTGTCTTTACATCTCATAGAATGTTCTATTGAGGTTATATTTAAATAATTATGTAGTATAATAACTATAAACATGCTAAAAATAAACCCCTAAAATTGTAAGAATCTTTCTCTTGGCTAATGTGAGATCTACTTCACCTTACAGAGATTTCAGAACATTCAGTCATCATAAGCTGTTACATATTAAAGAAACAAGACTTGCATGACAATCTAGCATCACTAAAACTTGTCACAATAGCTCTTGTTAGATTTTTGAACGTTGCATCACCAGTACAACTTTCAGGAAAATACCATGATGCATCTGTACTATTAGTTTTCCTGCATTGCAAAATCAAAAAACTGGATGATATTCCTTGAAACCTTGAGTTTTCTACAGATTATGCAACTTCTGAAAAATATTTTTATTTCAAAAATAAAAAAGAAGTCTTTGTGATAGGTTTTAAGAAACGAAAATGCTTACCTTTGTTGTAATTTTAATTACTGTAATTTAGATCTATTTATATTTTTGTAAAACTTTCCAATAAAGATTTTTCCATAAACTTTACATTTTATATGTTTTGATTAAAACACTACATGCAGTTTTAGTGTGTATGCAGTCACCAGTGTACAGTAGTTTTTAACCATGCCAAAATTATAAGTCAACTTTTTTAATTGTTAATCTGAAGGTTTCATTTAATATACGTTTTAAAACATTTGATATCAATTTATACATATACTTTACATTTCTTTCCTGTGATTTTCTTTGAGAATTCAACAGATTAAATTTTTACTACTTTGTTCCAATCTCTACACAAGTCACTAATGTTGAAAGTAACAAAAATAGCTTTCATTACGTGTTTAGATCAATAGCCTAGGATTTCTGAGGCACAGGCAATTATATCACACCATTTCAACTGAAGTTCAGAAAACACTGATTGAATTTGATGAAATAACACTTGCATTGAAGTTACAAGGTTTAAATAGGCACTATTTTGTTGAAAACTTTATCAACTTTCATCTTGGGGGTTATGACAGCCATAGTAAAATCAGAAAATTTTTCAGGAAATTCATTTATATAAGCCATTTATCACAACAATTGTTATGGTATGAACTCCTTTTCTAAGCTGGCAAATATTTTTCTTGTTGAAGGTGACAAGAAAGCCAATATTTAGAAATGATATTGACTTTTGTAATCTGACCAGTGACTCAGCTTTGCATCATATATACATATATATATATATATATATATATGACATTTTTTGTCAGTAAACGACCTCTTGCTTGATAATTTGTACTGTTGTTGCACTCTCTTCATCAAGACAACAAATCTTTCTTCAGTAACAAATGAATACAGTTGATTAACCAAAGTTTGAAATTACTATTGGCTAGCTGTAAGTACTAAATTCTGCAAGATAAACCACACTGTGAGAGTTGATAAATATGCCTTTTCTGGTAGATTGTTGCACATTGCTTTCTTCTTATACACCTTTTGAAGGAATTTCCAAAAGTTTAAATATCAAGTATAAACAGAGTTCAAGTTTCTTTTTATTATATCTTCCTTCTTTTCTAATACGAGGAAATGTAATCATTATCAGAAACAAAACTACCTAGTTTGATTGTATTTTAAAATATACAAAATGAAAAAAAAAAGACATTTTGTGGAAGTTCACATTAGCTAACTAATCGTATCTACTTACACACAACTGGTAATTTTTTATTAATGCCAGTGTCCCCAGAAAGTTAGATTTAAGCCTTGCCACTGCAATCATTTCATCAACTGCCGACTGTAACTCTTCATCATGATTGTCATTAATGTTCCTTGTTCCATAGTTTGTTGTTTGCCAAATATCCTAGAACTTGAAGTCACACTCAAATTTCAGCATCATATCCAGTAGTTTTGAAGTTCATAGCAAATTTGTTTCATTTTTAGCTTATTAATTTTACAGGAGATTGTGCATTGAGGTAATAGAAGCTATCTTTCCTTTGCACATGTGAATTTCAACAAGTCACACAATTTGCACTTCAATTTAAACTATACTTCTACTAAAGATCAATTACAGGTTGAAATTTAATGAAGCATTACACATGACGAAACGAGACTAGACTGCTTATAAAATCCTTTTCTTGGTTGAAAAACATTACTAGCAGTTTAAGACATTATATAAGGTCAACAACAAAAAATGATCCCCTGTAAAAATATTGTTGCTCTTTGCCTTGTTCCAAAGTTTTACATGTAATTTTAGGTCCTATAGTTCCAGTGTTTTGTGAAACTAATAAAATTACTTGAATAATATATATATATATATATCAACTATTTGGTAGATGAATATTCAGATAGATATCCAGCATCAGGACAAAACTTATATCTCCAGCTGTAATTAGGGTTGGCAGTTTAATATAATAACACATTCACTTTCTTCCAAGTTACTTTCAAAACTCAAAATGCAGTTCCATACTTAGAGCTGAAAGGTTAGTAAAATTTGTTAATCAATTAATTGTCAATATTCCTTAACCTTATCCCGATGGGTCACATGTCAAAGGCCATATCATCGTGTTAGTTGACTCGCATTCAAAATTTTATTGAACTACTATTTTATGAATTTATGTCAATAAGTTTGGAATCAAATTATAGATTATAAATCAAATTTTGGTATTATACGTGAGTTTCTTATTTAAAAGAAAAATATAAAAACAACTAAACATGTGTCACGTGGTATGTTGAATGCAGCAGTGGTTCAAATTAGATGTTTGTGATGTCAAAATACAAAGTCTATAATTTTGTATGAATTAGGAATTTAAACTAGAATATAAAGCAAGAACCTCTTATCTTTTCTATTTGCTAAGACATCGCTCATGTACTGAATCAAACACAGTGGCCTCCCACCCACCTCTTTCCATTTCTGGAAATGCTTGCTCCCTTTTACACAATTACTTCTATATATGACATGAATAACCAGTCGAAGCTCAGAATATCCCCCTAGTGGTTTTCTCAGCCACTTTGACATGTTAATCTCATTCTTTTCACATAATATTTAAAATAATATGGAAAGTCTTTAGTGAGCTTGAAATTTCCTATTTTTTTAGACCCAAATACAGCTTAGTTAAGATGCTTGATATATTATAGTGGAATTCTATAGTATCGATATAGTAATTTATGATTTTATTGGGTTATTTAAAATGTATATATAAAACCTAAAAAAATTTTTTTTTTTACATCCATGTGGGAAATTTCATAAGGCTTAGCAGCCCACGACAAGCAGCAAATGAGTACAAAGGTTGTAACTGGAAGAGAATTGTTTGCTTCTTTTTTACTCTTCTATGTTTTAAAAAAATAAGTTTAAGAACTTACTTGTAAATAGTATTAATGTATATACATAAATAATGTATAATAATTGAAATGTGAATGTATTTTACAAAATACTAGTCCACTCAAATACAGCCACGACAGGTCATTTTGTAAAGACTAAAGGCCAGTTTTATATTATTGGATATGGTAACATGAGTGCACATGCTCCACAGCATTGTAAGTTCTGTATTGTTAGCCAGGCATGGCTGAAAGGTCAATATAATAATTATATATAAACGTATAATGTTAGGACATTTCAGCTATTTAGACTAAGCATTTGTGTTTTTGTGTAATAATCTGTAGTCATTCTAGAATGAAAAAGTATAATTTAAATTTACTTCAAAATTTTTCATGGTGGTTACGAGGCCGGTTAAATTGACATAAAAAAAAATATCAGAAAAAATATATAGTTTTACTGAAAACAAACGTTGATATGTATTTAGGAGGTTTTAGAGATTACACAAACAATAGAGATTTTTGGAACAAACAAGTGTTTCAGTTATAACATGAAAATGACTTTGCACTTGGACTGGTAACAAAACAGACTCGATATTTTCACAAGCAAGTCTATAATAAAAACACTTCATTAACAATTTTTTTATTTTTTATGTACAAAAAGACTTGTAATCTTTACTAAAATTCTACCAAATTTTATGAAAATACACTTACTGCATTAAGTTATAGCATAAGCACTTAACTCTTGTATATTATACCGAGCCCGTCACAAAAGCGTTAATCAATTATCAACATGACACAGCTAAAAAATTACAAAATAAACTTATAATGCTGCAAATCAAGTTTTTATGTTCACAGTGGTTAGATTACATAGTCCAATGTGTCGTTTTAGGCTTAAGACCAAAAAATGGAATATTTTAATTACTTGAATAGGTGAAATAACCAAAAACAATAATAATCAGAAACTCTACTTCTGATTAGTTTATTATGTTCATGACATTAATTCCATCATAATTTCAATTAATCCTATTGCCCCGAGTATCCTTTATTGCGCATGACACAAGATTTTGGTGTCTAACATTCACAATTTTATTATACTACTTTTTGTTTATGTTATATCAATTAGAATAGCATAAAATCTGTGCTAATAATCCATATTTTAATAGTATACAAGTTTTAAGTTCTTAATTCTACAAGGCAATATTTAAAAAAATCCTGAATTTCCACTAGTCTTAGCATTTTGTCTTAGCATGTCATCATCCTTTGAAAATGTACAAAATTAAACGTAAATTACTCTCTATAAAGTTGTTATTGCTCAGACAAACCATAACTGTTAGTCCCAATTTTGTTTGGTTATAGAGCTATTCAATAGAAAATCAGACCCCTACTGCTACACTCACCTGTCACATTCCTCTCTTTCAGAATTCGTTGATAGTTCTCTTTTACATTTCATTATATATTACCTATAACCAATAGAAAGTTAAGGTTTTCATCTATCAAATGATGTATTGTATAACGTTGTCTTCTGAACAGAAAATCATCAATTTCACTCACAGTACATGCTTCATTCCCATGGGAAAGTTAACGACTAGGTTAAATGAATTTGTAATGGTTCTTGTCACATAGTAAGAAAGCCAGAAATATTTTGAGAGGTAAGGGAATTTGTCTACTTTTGCATGTTAGTTTATATTCTTTGGTGATTATTTAATTAAATAAATATTATTAAATGCATAACTATTAGTACTATAAAAAGTTAGGGTTAACTCTCTTCAAAACCCAACGACAAGAAGAAAAGGAAGATTAGTTAGTATTTTATTTCCCATTTTTCATATTTATTCTTTATCTAATATTATAAAAGTAACTAAAATAAAAAAATACGGATCTTTTTAAGTTATTAAGCCTAGATCAGGTAAAATAAATAATAATACATTCAAAATAGTTCATGCAAGTAGCTCATGGGTAATGTAATTCGATAGTGTAACATTACCTGCACGTTCTCCGAGTGGTTTACAACTTTTTATGGCACGGAAAATAGTTAGACAAGATTCAAAAAGCAATAAAACAATAACATTTAATGACAAATAGATGTATTATGTTACGAACTTAGAGCTACTTAGGATAAACAAATGCAGTTTCATGTTACAATTTGAAGTCATTCTAGGAAGAAAAAAGGTTAATTTAGTTTTATTTCAATTGTTTTTTTTTGGTGGTTACAAAGTCAGTCAAATTGACCGACCCCATTTTAAGATAGGGTAGAGGAAATAAAAGATAAACTATAATGTTTTACTGAAAAGAAAAAAAAAACGTTTGGAATGCATTTAGTAGGTTTTAGGGATTACACAAAGGAAATTTGAGATTTTTGAGATGAGGAAAAGTATTTTTAATTTTAACATGAAAATTACTTTGCACACGGATTATTCAAAACAAATATTCACTATATTCATGGACAAATCCTTATTTTATTTTATTAAAAATACTTCACTAAAAAATATTTTTTGAATGTGAAAGACTTGTAAAATTAACTGAAAGACGGCCAAATTTCGTTAAGATATACACACTATATTGAGTTATAAGTATTAAATCTATAAAGACTTTAAACTATTACAAAAAGGTCACATAGTTGGTCAAATTGACCGAGCCCATATTGAGTGTGTTAATGGATAGTTGCAATAATCAAAAACAGTAATAATCAGAAACACTATATTATACTTGTGACATTACTCAATCATAATTTTGATTAATCATTATTTTGTGACACTAATAAATGTTATTTATGCTTATAAGCAATTGATTATATTGATTAATCAAGTTAATTGCCAAGTTATAATCACATGACCATATTGCTACTAGCAGTTTAACCCATTCCAGACCAACTTGAGTTACTTTCCTCATTTTTTTACATTTAGAAATTTCTAAAATATTGGGATATTGTTTTAAAAAAAATTATTTCTTTTGTCTTAGAATTTAAAATTATTTCTCTTATTCATTAAAGTTCCATTCTATATATATGTGTGTATAAATTTGATTAATATTCATTAACATATTTTTTTGGTACATTATCTTGCCAATTGTAGTACTCACCACCTGAGTTTATAAATCACAACAAATATGGCAAAAACTAAAAAATTTATTGGTGATCCATTACTTGATCTGTCACAATGACATGCTGTTAGGCTAGCTTACTTTGTCTTTGCTAATATTCTTAATTGAGATACATATTTACCTATCAAATAGTTTCTTTTCAACAAACAAATATACAACATGGGACCTATCTTAGCTGTTCCATCCCCTAAACTAAATTAAAATAATTAAAAAAATAATAATCTTAAACCCAGCCCTGATCATTCATATAATTATCAAGCATTTTCTTAAACTTACTTAAATTTATTGCCTCTACAACATCTGAAGGCAACCCATTCCAAAGCCCAACCACCCTAGTTAAGAAAAATGAAACTGTCTCAGCTG